GCTTAGAGTAATGTGCCAAGTGCTATGACTAACTGCTCGCTTCTCCAAAAGGATTGATACCATCTGTATTTTAAAGCAAACCTTAAGTTTCTTTGCGCCATTTGCAAACTCCGAGAATTCTCTCGTCGATTGCTTCCACCGGGACCCATCGGCAGTGGTGTCTCAACATATTGTCTACCTTACGGTCTTCTTTTGTGCCAACGCAACAATTTTGCATGTTCTTTGTTTCGAACAGACGCTTTCAAGCGTGGTATTATAGGAGCATACCACATAACCTTGGCGGTGGATTTTCTTCCATGGACGCTCACCTCAACATCACCGTGGTCATCTCGCTCGATCTTATACACTGATGCATGGCATACCGGCATGCATCCAATTTCTCGCACTTTTGCCACCATGCAGTGATGCAACATTAGGACATGCATGTATCTTCTCGATTTCTAGCCCCATAGGATGTATAACTTGTTTTGCTTCAGAGGTAGTGGCGGGCAATTCATTGTCCTTCTAAGCATCTTCTTTTGGATTTTAGTAACTCTCCAAATCCCTTGTCGATACACCATTCTTTGCCTTCCATTGCAAAAGCAATTTAGTGTGGTTCCCAACTTTTTCTCGCCTCGCATCACAAGTTGTGTACAACAATTTGTTGTGATCTTCTAGCATCCGTCGAACTTGATCTTTCCTTTTCACTTTCACATTCTCTTTGTGCATCACGTAATGACCCGACAAAGATCATCAAGCAGGGCTCATCTTCTCGTGGCTACTCTTCTTCAAATTTTCTCCCATTGCAAGATCATTGAAGCACGCACCATCGGGAATAATATCATTGTCGCCCCATTGTTCTTCTTCACCTTCTTCCATTATAATGCCGTTTCTTCCGTGTTTCATCCAACAAATATAGTTTGGCATGAAACCCGACTTGAACAAGTGTGAATGAAGAGTCCTTGAGCAAGGATATTCCACCGTATTCTTACATATGGCACATGGGCAAGACATGAAACCGTCGTGTTTGTTTGCCTCGGCCGCCGACGTAATAAAGAATGCACGCCGTCCATGAACTTTGGGATTGGCGATCAGCATTGTACATCCAATGCCGGCTCATCCGCATTACATGACATAAATACCATATTAAAACCTAGATCATAATTAATTATTTATACAATATGTGTGCCACCACAAAAAGGTACAAATTTATGAAAGCATCGCTACAATGTAGACAATCCCAACTACCACTAAAAGAACTAAAGCTAAAATACATTTCAGAGCACAAGAATTTCAAGACTAATCTCAACTAAAATGCAGACAGATCCCCGACAGTAACATATTGGGCTTCTTCTACTGGATCATCGCCTCATTAGTCGTCAGATTCATCACAGCAAGATATTTTGCACGAGTTCAACATACTCTTCCTCCCAAAGAGAAGCCTCGAACATCGTCCACTGCCATCCCACTGAAATTAAAACAAAAAATTAGAATTTTAATCACAACCATCATGAAAATAGGTATAAACTAACCATAATCATTAAATACGATAAAATAACTCACATTGCGATCCGGACACTTGTAGAAGATACGATCCTTGTTGGGACCCTCCTTCTTCACTTGGTACTCCACCACAATCTTCGTCTCATCACCACACTTGCCGTATGGAATGAGAGGGAGGCCCGGCCTAAGTCGCTTTGGAAACCTATGAGAGGTCGAGGACCCGGAAGCAGTTGCCATCTACTCTCTATACTCATTTTTTAATACACTATAAATTTCTGATTTTATAAACAAATAAAATTATAAAATTATAAAATTATCTATATCTCAAAAACATGTTTTAATAAATAACCATCCGTACTAGTTGACCTTGCTTACGTGATCATCTCGACGAGTATTTCTCCACCGGACGACATCAGATTTTGGTCAAGGAAGAGCTCCGATTCTACGAGGAAGGAACACGGTCTTCCACGACCGCTGCCGCTCTCCTTCAGAGAATCAAAGCTCCTCCTTGACGTCCGTTATCGCTTCGGCAGAGAACATGCTCGCCGAGATGAACACGGTCCGCAAGTTCAACTAGTACGGATTTTCTATAATTTTCTAACTATTTTCTAAGTTTATATTTATATATATACTACGCTTTGGGTACGGTGATTAATGTATCATCGCGATGATATCGGGACATGTGAATAAATAACCATCCGTATTTAGTTGACCTTGCTTACGTGATCATCTCGGCGAGTATTTCTCCACCGGATGGCACCGCATTTTGGTCAAGGAAGAGCTCGATTCTACGAGGAAGGAACACGGTCTTCCACGACCGCTGCCGCTTCTTCCTCGAGAGAATCAAAACTCCTTCTTGACGTCCGCTATCGCCGACAGAGAACATGCTCGCCGAGATGAACACGGTCCGCAAGTTCAACTAGTACGGATTTTCTATAATTTTCTAACTATTTTCTAAGTTTATATTTATATATATACTACGCTTGGGTACGGTGATTAATAGATCTACGCGACGATATCGGGACATGTGAATAAATAACCATCCGTGATTAGTTGACCTTGCTTACGTGATCATCTCACAGTATTTCTCCACCGGATGGCACCGCATTTTGGTCAAGGAAGAGCTCGATTCTACGAGGAAGGGAACACGGTCTTCCACGCACCGCTGCCGCTCTTCCTCGTAGAATCAAAACTCCTTCTTGACGTCCGTTATCGCTCGACAGAGAACATGTCTCGCCGAGATGAACACGGTCCGCAAGTTCAACTAGTACGGATTTTCTATAATTTTCTAACTATTTTCTAAGTTTATATTTATATATATACTACGCTTGGGTACGGTGATTGATGATCATCGCGACGATATATCGACATGAATAAATAACCATTCAGATTAGTTGAACTTGTTACGTAATCATCTCGGCGAGCATTTTCTCCACCGGACGGCACGCATGATTTGGTTACGGAAGAGCTCCGATTCTACGAGGAAGGAACACGGTCTTCCACGCACCGCTGCCGCTCTCCCTCGAGAGAATCAAAGCTCCTCCTTGACGTCCGTTATCGCTTCGGCAGAGAACATGCTTGCCGAGATGAACACGGTCCGCAAGTTCAACTAGCTACTTTTAACCTTTTCATGTAAATATGCAAGCTTGAAGTGATTTTGAGCTCAAATTGCTTACAAATGAAAAAAAAACCACAATAAAGAACCATATATATATATAGTGAACAAAATGAGATAAGACAATGGTGAAAAATGAGAGTATGAGATTGGTAACCTTTACAACTCAAGAATCGACTTGAGGAATCAAGAATGGATGGAGGAACAATGGAGGAGGAGAAAGCAAGAACACTAGTGCAAAGTGAGCTTTAAAATGTGCCGAGCTCGGGCTCGGGAGGAAGAAGAAGTGACGGTCGGGATATAAAGGAGGACCTGTAGTCCCGGTTGGTGGTTCCAACCAGGACTAAAGGTAATCTTTCCAACCCCGGACGTAGCCACGGCCCGGGAGTAGACCTTTACTCCCGGTTGGAGCCACCAACCGGGAGTAAAAGTATACCTTTAGTTCCGGTTGGTGGCTCCAACCGGGACTAAAGGTCCCCGCCACCTTTGCCTCAGCACAAGAGTTGTTAAGGGACCTTTAGTCCCGGTTGGAGCCACCAATCGACTAAAGGTATCTCTAGTCCCAGGCGCCAAAAAATGCCGGACTAGAGCCCATTTTGGCCGAGGATCAAAGGTCCATTTCTCTACTAGTGAAAGGCTACGAGGCCAAGATCACCATCCCCGTTAATCGTGCGTAGCGGGCACAAGCTAATAAATTTGTTTTGGCTAGCCAAATATAATCTTGTTCTGAAAACAAACCGTGGCCCAAAAGTCGAGGCCATGTCAAAATTTGGCTTGGCTAGCTATATAAAACCAAACACATGACCTAAATCCGGTTTAATATGTATACCAAGATTTTCGATCTTATGACTAGCTGAAATTCCTATGATTTTACTCCTTATTTTCATAGCTAAACTTCTACTCCCACTGCTCCAAATTATAAGTCGCTTTGATTTTTTAGTATATAAAATTTTCTATGATATCTAAATATATCGATATATTTAGATACTTAGCAAAATAGATATAAAAAGTTAAAGTGACATGGGAGTATATACTAGTAATTCCAAGCCTTGTTTAGATTCTAAGTTTTTTCACTTTCTCTCCATCACATCAAATCTTTGGACACATGCATAGAGTATTAAATATAGATAAAAAATAACTAATTACACAGTTTGATTGTAAATTACGAGACGAATCTTTTGAGCCTAGTTAGGCCATGATCGGACAATAATTGTCAAATACAAACAAAAGTACTACAGTGCTAAATACTGATTCCTAACAGCTATCTAAACAAGGCCCCAGTGGCTTTAATTATGCAATTAATTTACTGCAATAAAACGGTGCGCCCACGTGCACGTTACGCTCTTTAATTGCTACTCCTCTCCTAGTGATAATAGAGCACACATTCAATTCTCACTCATGATTCCTAGTTTTACCTTTTTGACATGATCGATCGATACATGCCCAAAGAAATACCGTACGTGTCCTGCCACTTGACTAAATGCATGGTGAGGAAGGAATATGCTGAACCCAGTACATACAATATAAACGACACATTCACTAGCTCAGAGAGGTGCACATATCATGTCAATCAGTTTCCAGTCCATGCATCCCATCCACCGGTTTGGACCATGTCTCAGTGCTACGCTGTACTCCCGGCCCGGCCCTTCAAAACGGCACACAAAGAAAAAAATATATATATTGGTGCCTGCTCCACCTAGCTCTCAACGCGTTCCATCTCTCTCTCTCTCTCTCTCATCACCCTCGTCTCGTCCAATGCAACCTCACTAGCTGCGGGCTATCCCTATAATTGTACCAGCATAACAATACCAAACTTTGCTCCTCTGATCGATCTCTAGGTATCTACTACCTCCCTCCTCACCCACATGCACAACAGACGCAACCCCTATACAAGAACAACCATATGTCATATGCCACTCATGACCTAATCACCAAGATCCATTTCGTCTCCTCGAGCAAGAACAGGCGGCAAGGCTCTGTTGCCAATTTAGAAGTTCAGCAGCAGCTTGCAATGGATACAACAGCCGCGGCCCCCGATCTATCGCTCCATATCAGTCCTCCATCGCCGCCCGACGATGCTAGGAGCAGTGGCGGCGGCCAAGCAAACCACGAAACGGACATGTTCTTCTCCAAGCAGACGCTGTGTCTCGGACTTGTTGAGAAGACGGTGGCTGTGGCGCAGCAGGATGGCCAATGTGACATCATCCAGCAGGAGCAGCAGAGGCTGCACCAACCTAGCCAGATCCAGAGGTTCAAGAAAAGCTCATCGGCGGCGTTATCCGGAGGCACCACGAGATCTGGGAATGGTGGTAGCGGTGGTGGAAAGAGGAGCTCCAGAGCACCAAGAATGAGGTGGACCACGGCTCTTCATGCACACTTCGTGCATGCTGTAGAGCTCCTTGGCGGCCATGAGAGTACGTTCTTCAAGAACGTTCTTGTTTGCTTGTTTAATTTCCATCCATGTTCTGTTAAATTGTTAGCCAACTGATTGTGCTTCAATTCGTTGGGTTTGCGCTTGTCGTTAATAACGATATGATGATCCAATTTCATATAGCTCACTGAGGGGAACTGGCAATCGAGAGTGCAATTGCTCAAGACTTATTAAGTTCTTGGAATCTTGGGTGAATATGCTTTTATTATATTTTCTCGCTTGATTATATTGATATGATATATCCCCTTGCCTATAACTATAACAAACACGGAGTGCTTTTCTTTGTTTTCTTTCCACTTAATTGTAGCTTGCAGACTTCATTGAATTGTTCAGTCTTTGGTTTCAGTTTCATTTTGGCTACAAATTAAGAATTGTACCTTTCTTTCTAGGAGCAACGCCAAAGTCAGTGCTGGAGCTGATGAACGTTAAGGATCTCACATTGGCTCATGTTAAGAGCCACTTGCAGGCAAGTTACCAAAACCTTAATATAATCTATCTCTCTCTCTCTCTCTCTCTCTCTCTCTCCGGTAGAATTTGGTACTTAGTACTAGTGTTTCTCATGTCAAGAACCAAACAAAAACGTAACACAGTTTGATGATCCCTTGATCAGCCCCTTTCACCCTTTTCTTCTTGGCATTTGTTTGTAGTTGTCGCCAAGTACTTGTCTCTTTCATCTGAATCATTTATTTAACTAGTAATATATCAACCACAACGAATTGAACTAATGTTTTTTTTCTTAGCACGTTGCAAGAGTAAACCAAATGGCAGCACAAGGATCAGTCTAATCTTTCCATGTCGTTGTTTTCTTATTTGCTTTATTACTTGATGCAGATGTATCGAACAGTGAAGGGAACGACGGCAGACAGATCATGTGCTGCAGGTAAAACATTACATACATGTCAGCTCCAGAAACATTTCTTTTCCTGAGTTGATATTCCTCAGTAGGGTCATATCACATAATCCTAGATGAATTATTGGCATGAGGCGTGCCTGGTTAGTATTTCCAGTCAGTCCCATAAAGCACAAGCACTGCCATTCTTTTTCTTAAAAATGAAGTAGCAGTATTTATCTTTGAGCTACTACACAGTATCTGGAAATACCTAGGGAATAGCCACATATGTTCATATAGATGTATCTCCGTTGTAAATTTCAGTGATTTGACAGGCATGCATATATAATTTGCTGCAGGCCATGTGCAGATGATGAGAGATATGGGCTTTCTGCAGAGGGTTGTGAAATGAATGGCTTCTGAAGCGTTTAGCAACAGTACTTCCAATGCTACCGCCAATAGTAGGTTTGTACACATGATCGACTGCTTATTATATATAGTATTGTGTCATTGTGTGTGTTAGTATTGCATATATATAATCCGGTACAGTGATGCCCTATATATTTATTCCCTTAATTGCATTGGTTACTTTTCCTCTGCGAATCTGCATCCTCTATTTTGTCCATTTTGACGATTCACGTGGATACCTTTTGCGCGTGTGTTTAATTTTTTTTTATGTATAATGCACTAATTAATATGGATGGTTGTCTTTTAATAGACTTGGTGTTTAAGTTCGAAGCTATTGTTTTTTGTGTCCCGCTTTGAGAGCAAGTTGTTTTTAGTCAGTGTGTGTGTTTTAATAAATAGATGGTCGTGCACATATATAACTTATGCGCAGAGACCGGAATAAAAATCTTTTTTTCTAAAAAAAATGTATAGTGCACGATCATGGCCACTATGATCCCATGCATCATTTCATATTTCCTTTCTATCCTTTGTTAGAAAAAAATGATCTCTCATGTCTTTCTTGCACTGATGGGTAGTGAGTAGTGTTGCTGACTTGCTGTCATGCATCGCTCTTGCATTTCTTCTCTCATCTTCTATAGCTACAGGTTTTGGCCCCACATGCTTCTGTATGAGGTGTCCTTCATCCAACTTTAACAAGTCAAACTACAACACGTGTTGCAAGCAGTTTTATCCCCTTTTTTCACATGCGACACACCTTTAGGGAGCATTTGATCAAGAAGATATATAGCACCTGTGAAAAATAAAACATAGAAAGAGTCCCGTATGTATTGTACATATTGAGCTTCCCTGTAATCAATGCAATGTGCAATATTTTACTCTCAAATCTCAATCTAGTTAATGTTTTCTGACTTTTTGAAATTAATAGGATGGCACTAGCTTGACCACACTTTGATCATCATATGTTCAAAAAGCACAAAACTGTTGGGGTGTCTTTCCATTTTAATCAAAATTTATTTATAACGTTCTTCATATAATTAAACTGCATATTATAATAACATATTTGGTAAAAATTAGAACAACTGATTGCACATGTTCAAAGCCGTCACTATATTTTTTCTTATTTCCTCTGTCCCAAAAAAAGAATAAAATCTGGCTTCTCAATGAGTCAAACAATCTCAAGTTTGATTAGGTTTCTAGAAAATAATATCAACATTTGTATCTTCAATTTATTACGAAAGTATATTCTATGGTTAATCTAGCGATACTTATTATGCATCATAAATATGAATTAGTATCTTTTTGTGTATATATTTGGTCAAACTAATTAAGGATTGTCTCCTCAGATAACAAGGTTTCTATTCCTGTTGGGACAGAGGGAGTAACTAGAGGGGGCAGTGGAACCTTAAGTCCAATGTTTACGAGATGACACTAGTGAACCCAATAATTTTCTGTCATGTGGTAGTGAAAGGATCATATATACTGACATGCTATTCATGGTTCATGCACATATTTCATATATGGTCAAGTATACTGCTATGACAATAATTTTGGTATTTATATATTAACATATATAGAGGTCATAGTTTAAATTAAGTTAGCTGTACAATGCCATAATATGTGTATATATTTATGTTGAATATATAATAGTTAAGACTAATGAGCACCTACTTTTTATTAAATGTTAGTGATGCTCCTTCTCCGATCATAAAATCAAGTACCCTTTTGATATTTGCATGGTCCATGGAGCACAACTTTGCTCACAAATTTATTTCAGTTGATAAGCAAAAACCTTATAAGAAAATGTAACACAAAGCAATTGTTTTTGATATATTCACAGTGATCGTTAGTTAAATTCAATAGTTTGACAACACAAAGAGAGAAATTTAGTTTATTTGAATAATACAGATCACTGTAAAAACCTATACTACAATATGTAGGTATTAGTTAGAATCAAGGACATTGGATGTACATATATGTACAAAACATTTGAAGTTTTTTTTTCTATTATCCTATACTTTTATGAATAAATCATATAAATGAAAGAATTGTGTACCTAGTTAGGCAGCTGTGGTAACCAATGTGTACAACATAAATGAAGCCGAGGTTGGATCGATACTTGAATCACAAAAGCTGAAAATAAACTTCTCTTTTTTATATCAAACATAAGAAAATTATTAGGGCTAAAACACAATGTATATGTCAGGTAGTATATACCAGACTGATGGACATTACTTGCATTAAAAAGAGGCTTCCTATATGTAATAATAAATACTACTAATAATGTTTAGGGCACCATCAACAATAGAGTCAACTTGCTATATGAACTTAAAATAAGATAAAAATAGAGTAACCCAACATGCTAGTGTAGAAAATGTGTGAACACAAACAAAAAAATTAAGAAAGTGTGTGAGCTTAGCTCTTCATGAAAAGCTAACTTATCATTCTCTCTCCTTATTACTCAACATCTATGTGCTAGATTTTTTTAATACTATTCGAGCAGCCCTTAATTAGAAGCTTTCGTCTCAACCGTACCCTTACTTTAGTTATTGCCGGGAAATTGAAGAAAACTTGCCACCCATATTATGCACACAAACTATATATTATACACACACATGTACAATTAATTTTGATATTATTTAAAACTATTTATTTATTTAGTTATTAATTAACATACGCATCGCTTGTTTACATATATAAGCATCAAGATTGAGAATATTTTTTCATATGAGCACAATCTCCTCAAAAGATTAACAATAATATTTGTCATGTTCCATGGTCATCTTATATATCATATGCATGGGGGTGGGGTGGGGTGGGGGGGGGGGGGTATATTATTGTGATTTTCTAGTTCAGGTGGGCCGTGGGCACCTTGCATGCCTTCGTTCCCGTTGTTGAATGCATGCATGTCCAGAATTTTTTTTTTAAAAAAAAAAGTGAAACAATTACTCAATCCGTCCCAAATTATGAGGCTTTTCTAAATACGTAGCTTTTGCTATGCACATAGATATATACTATGTCTAGATACGTACTAAAAGCAATGTATTTAGAAAAACCAAAATATCGTATAATTTGAAATGGAGTGAGTAATAATTTATTTTCTGGTGGTGAGTAGCTGGGGAAGGTACGATGACAGTGTTGTGCATGCATGCATGTCTGATGGTGATGGATGCGTGGCTGCCGATTCCAAACTCCCACGCACGCACGCATGCAAAAGCAGCTCGCGCGCGCTGGAGGAACCTGAACTGAACGCACACCCTGTGCGGCTGTGCGTCATGCATAGTATGCTGCTGGCAGTGGCAGCAAATATAATGCTCCGATCCAACTAATTGCTGGATCGATCGATCGATTGGATCCCTCTGCTGCGTGCACAGTCGGGCACAGGGATAGAGCCATCTATCCATGTAGTATCTACCGCGCGCACATGCATATGCATATATAACGGCTAGGGTTTTGGCCTGCATGGGGGACACGTCTTTAAAGGGCAAGTAAAGCCCTCTAGCTAGTCATATTATTGCGAAAAAATTGTGGTGCAGAGGCATGCAGCGGTCACCTTATTAATTCATTGCATGGTAGCTGGTACTACGTACTACAGCTAGGTATTGTAGCCAGACACTGGCGGCCAAGGACATCATGATGAATGGCAAGACTTTCTCACCTTGCATTGCCAGATTGCCTCCAACAGACTACAGTCCCACTACTAACTTGCAAATTACTAGCATGCAGCCTGCAGCTAGCTAGCTGTGTTGATGAGCGAGGTCCCAACAATGCGACGGATCGATACACTTATGTGCAAGAAGCCGGCTGGCTGGGGATCGATACACTTATGTGCAAGAAGCCGGCTGGCTGGCCAGCCAGCCGGCTGAGTGGCCGCTGCTGCACAGCCGGCCGGCCGGCGACCACCGATAGTGAGTAGTAGTCGTCGTCCGTTGTGACGATTCATTGAATGTCATTCAGATCCATATCAATTGTCCCCCTGCGCTGCTTCCCCCATCACTCAGGGTCATAACATATTATATTATGCGACGACGAGAGGTGGTGGCCGGAATCTTGGCAAGAAACAAGTAGAAGAAGACACGAGGACGGAGGGCACTGCGCGCGGCAGGGGGACATGCTGCTAGCTAGCTGCATGATGCAGTTGCCGCAGCTCCATCCATCTATCTAGCTATCCGATCCATCCATCCATCGTCCATTGCCCTTGACCGAAAGCCTGCGTGCAGGTACCATGCATGCTCCAGTACTATAGTGTCGCGAGCTAGCTCACAGCCATGCAGGCACGGTAGTGGCGAGCATGGACATGCCAGGTTGCCAGCAGCAGCAGCCAGCAGCCAGCAAGCAGCTAGCGCATTGCATTAACACACTCGCTCGACACTGCATTTCAGGGCGCGTTTAGATGCAAAATTTTTTGGATTTTACCTACCGTAGCACTTTCGTTTGTATTTGATAATTAGTGTCTAATTATGGACTAATTAGGTTCGAAAGTTTCGTCTCATATGATTTCTCACCCAACTGTGCAATTTTTTTTTTCGTCTACATTTAGTACTCCATACATATACCGCAAGATTCGATGTGATGAATACTGTGTAAAAAATTTTAGAAACTAAACAGGCCCTCAGTCCAGACAGTGCACCTAGCTATAGTTCTCCTTCATGCTCGCACTTGCATATTGTGCGTGCTTCGTGTGATGGAGGAGTGCGTGGCATCCATTTAGCTAGCTCCTCCGTAGTGGGGATGGTGAGAGCAGCTAGGTACCGGCACCCAGAGTCCCAGACCCAGCATGCAGCTAGCAGTTAGTAGTAGATTACTAGAGATCCTCTCTCTCTCTCGATCGATCGATCGACCGCGACCAGCCTGCTGGCCGTGTGGCAGATTGGAGTTAATTCCTTGTGTACCTACGACTATGACAGATATAAGATGCATGCGTCCTGCTGCTGCTGCTCCTCTGCATGCATCTTTGTTCGTGTAATCTGATGTTTTTAACTGTTTTGCTGCCTGTCGTTGTATTCATTGTGTCTCTTCAGCTGGTACACCGTACTACACAGTGAGTCACGAGACTGATTCTCTCTTCGATCTCTCCTTTTCTCTCTCTGTGTACCGCGTACGACCTGGCACGTAGTATAGCATCAAACTAGGAGTATCTATACTGCGATAACGGAAGGTTCTGTGCACTACCCTACATGGCTAGCTACGTACATAGGATGGGATAGCAATATATATATATATATATACACACACACACTTATATAGGGAAGTTATTTCCTACTCTTAGGGAGTAGTTACTCCCATGCATATATCTTTAGATTTAGGGTATATATGGCTTGACGAAGTGTATGTAGACGAAGTATATGATCACACTAGACCATCTAAGGTAGTATGTAAGTCAAGTATACATAGAGTATATGGTTATATTTATTTTATATACTACTGTCATAGTATTATAATAACATATTAAAAATATGGGTTCTTTTGAAAAAATTTCACGTAGTAAGATTTAATTTGTAGTATCTTAAAATGAGTATATAAACATACTCAAACTGATAAATGAGTATGTAAACATACACAATGTGGTTTATTGAAGATAGGAGTAACTACTCTCGGGAGTAGAAAAAATGTGTCCCACTTATATATATATATATGTATGTATGTATGTATGTATGTATGTATATGAACAAAGTACTGATAGATGATCATTGACGTATGTACGTATGTTGTTCGTACATATACGTCGTTTGCATGCATGATGCAGAATGCAAGCAGCTGCAGGGTCGCCAGCAGGGAAGCAGGAGGTGGCCTGGTTCTTGCGGCCACCACCCTTCTTACACCAAAGTGGGGCGGTGCCGCTGCCGCTGCCGCTGCCCTGTCCCTACCTCATGTCTGCCCACCACAACCGCTACTTGCTCACGCAAAATCAGGTACGGTGATTATTACCCTCTATCTACATGTATTATTATATATATTAGCACCTCTCTATCGATCGTAAATATAAATCTAATCTCTCAGCTCAGCTCGCATTCAGTACTGACATATATAGAGACAGAGAGACTGTACTGTACTGTCCTTAGTAGTTATTAAGGATGCAGCTGTTGCTTACCAATATTGGTGTTTTGGGTAAACTAACTAATTACGATCAAATAAATATATCATTCTACTTCATTTCTCCCCTCAAATTAAATTACATATTTTTTTGGAACGAACCAGCAGGAGATTGAGCTACCCGCTATTAAAAAGAAGGGGACACCCAGACGGGCAAAATTACATAAAATTATATGATTATTCTACTTCATTTGAACAAGTTTTTGGTCGACTAAATGACCCAAAGTAATTAGAACTTGCATCCTGGGGCCTATAGTACAGTTACTAATATATATTGTTACTCAATGAAGGTTCAGTTCCGTGCAGTCTAGCATCATGTGTGGTCCGTTAGATCGTAGGATCCAAGGTTGTTGATCAACAAATATCTCGCCATATAATTTAGTAGTCCGTAATGCTTCCTGGATGTCTCCCTCCCCACATGATTTATTATACTCGTACATTCAAAGAGAACATTTTCTTGCATGCTAATTGCAGTACGGACATTGAATGATTTTCTTCATGCACTATGTTACTGCTCTCTGGTACTCCGAAGGGTTTAATTAATTTGGCTAGTAATGTAGTAATAATACAATATTCTGATTGTTGGGGATAAACAGCACATCTTTCATCAGTAATGTTTGTTGCAGCAGAACCGTACCCTCGCTCTGTTAATTCCTCAGAGCTACTCACTCCAGGCAAAAAGTATCTATAGAAACGTCACCATATATACGACGCATGCATGCAGCTGCAGTGGCAGAATGTCTTAACTTGAGTTTGGTCCACGGGCAGCCAGTGCTTAGTTAGATGAGCCACATTGCAATGCATGCAAGAAAATGTTCTCTTGTTTGCCAGATTCATTATATATATTTCACAAATAAAAAAAACAAGAAAATATTTTCCTAGTACGTAATCAGATCCTCCTGTACATACATTTGTTGTATTATTATTTGTTATTTGTAGCAGTACACAGCACAACACAGGTGGCAGAGCGAGATGCTGCTGGAACCACACATGTAGCTAGACTAGGCACTATATTTCCCTTTAGATCTCGTGTTGTATTGCTTAATTTGCTGGAGCCACCCAACACTACTTGGATCCTCACTACTTCAGTAGAGAGAGAGAGAGAGAGAGAGAGAGAGCAAGTGAGCTACGAGCTGAAAAGTGCTATGACACACTTTAAACAATATCCATCTAATCAATCATTCAACTGGGCTTTCATATATAAAAAAAACGACGACATGCATTGTCAGCTCGATCCGAAAAGATCGGTACGTTACCATAACAGTTTCTGCAACATATATATATATATATATATATATATATATATATATATATATATATATATATATATATATATAACACTAGTACCCTATAGCTGGCTACAAAACAACTTATTTTGTAGTCACTTTGAATTACGCTAATTACTATGTTAATTTACGATATTACAGTAACTCTATACAAAGTGGATTACTATAATGTTACGGTAACTTCATATAAAAGCGATGCATGCATTCTTTTACAGGGATGGAGGGCCAGAGGCGCGCAGCAAGACGCTGCCTCGCACGTCCTAGGTCTGGACATTGCTGCGCGGCGTCTGCATTCAGGCTTTGCTGACACGGCCATCAGGCAGCAGAGACCATCATCGTGGAGCGCAGGTGTTGCAAGCCGCTGGCCATCGTCGACGGCAGCGGCGGTGCCTTCGCCGTCGAGCGGCAGGAGTAGCATCAGCAGCAGCACGGAACAACCAGCATGCAGCTGGACGATGACGAACAAGCATCAGCAGGTGCCATCAAAGATCGCGGTACCGAACTTGGAGATAAGCCTGGGGAGGCAGGGATGGCAACACAACCTGCAGGATCACCATCAGCAGCAGCATCAACAGCAGCAGTGCAGCGGGGAGTCCACAGCGCCAAAAGAGCTGACCCTCCTCAAGTGCTTGTGATCGAAATTAATAGTTAATAACTTGATTGGCTAATCACTTCTATATATAATTTTATCAAGATGAGCGAGAAAGGTTCAAGGCTGCAAGCAAATGATCGACCGACGACACTAGTAGCTTGAGATATATTTGGTGCTAGCTTCACGTAGTTCTTTTTTGTACTTTTCATGTATCCATTAGCTTCATATTGTGGTATATGCATGTCATTTGAGCTGATGTGTTCTAGCTTGTAGAGACTGTTAGAAATCGCGTAAATAAACGAGCCACCCTTCTCAATATAGATGGTGTCTAATTTTTTAGAGTTATATATATATATATATATATATATATATATATATATATATATATATATATATATATATATATATATATATATATATATATATATATATATTACGGTGACTAATCAAATATTGTACTTGTGCTTCATCTTTTTAATAGCAAAGTAAGATCACCATGTTCAAGTATACACTGTGAAAACCCACCTAGTGACACAGAAAAAGTGGTGGCTCGTCCTCACGAAGAAGACCCGCATCACTTATCTCTTTGTACCCTTCAAGTCAGTAATGGACTTTCGACCTATCACTTTAATTTGATAAGTTAATAATGACTTGTGTTAACAATGTCAGACAGCTCATAATAACGTCAACCATCACTACCATTTGCATGGGCTTCCAATAGTCCTATTACAGCAAGAGGAACAACCAATTCAAGACCAAACAGTCAACTCTCTTGAAAACTTCATAGATGAAGAAATCCCTATTAATATACCGATAGATTGCTCTGTCCAACCAGGAAGACAACAATAATGTTAAGCCTCAAAACCAAGAAAATTACAAATTGGTTTTGTGATGATTGAAAATGATTCATGTAGTGCTCCTGCCTTTGAAGAGTACTCCAGTATTATTGCACCCAGTTTTCCGAAGGAAACCAAGCATATAGTGCCAAATATGTGTGCCCTAACTGCATGTATGACCAGGATGTACATGATACACATATAGCGCTAAATATGGAAATTTACCAGAAATAATGGTAATGAATAGCGTAAAAATATTTATATTAACAATTACATCTTATCACAACACAACAAAAACGATTCTGAATCTTGTCTTATGGCTTCCATTCTTCACAGGAATGGTTGATTGGGGAGCATATGCCTAACACTCCTGGTACTTCTTAGAAAACTCACTAGATCCACCATTTGGTACCCCCATTCAGGATTTTCTTGAATTTAAGCAAGCGTGAGCTCACATGATCAAAAAGTATAACACGAGTTTATACAAGGCTCAAAAGGCTAAACATGGTTGTACTGTGGTAAGCACTTTTAGTTGGTCACGTTTTATTCTTTCAGACATGAGTAACTAAGTTATGCTTAAAACCCAAAGTGTAAGTAATTAGAGATTGCAGCAAGCCAAACCATCCATGGTAAAATCAGCTAATAAAACGAATCCTGATTGCTCATGACAGAGAGCACGACTGATATATCAGTCTCAATAACTTTGTAGAGTGTGTACAGCTTTAACCATGAGTCGTGATCCCCATTTGCTGAAGGTAACTAGCCTATGAAACACTTCGAAGGTGAGTCGACAGGATTTTACTATGATCTATTCCAAAGTTCCCCTAACAAGTTGGTAGCCACGAGGTTTTAGGTTTACCCAGTAAATATGGTTACTCACCTACCAAAATGGCACACACAATCATAGCACCACACACAATTATAGAAAGTCGAGTCATACTCAGCAAGGCACCTCCTTTTGCGCCTTTCCTTAATCATTAATAAGCTAGAGTAGTTCAGAGTACTAAGACCATATCGGAGCCATATAGTCCTCGTGGTTGTACTATAAGTCCTGAGTTGCTTTTGGGTGGTCACCGGAGTTATCCGGTGAATGGAGTTTAGACAGAAGAAAAGAAAGATGCATGATATACTTCTGATGTGCATTGGAGCTATGTAACAAAGCTGATGCACAAGTGGCAGAGAACAGAAGAGAGCACCAGAGCTCTCTAGTGAAGGCACTGAAGTTATTATGAGGTGCATTCCAGAGAGCTTTAGACTAAGCACCAGATTTTTCGGTGGTGCACTGGACAAACCACCGGAGTTATGGAGCAACGGTCAACAACAACTAGTTAGCGAGGCGTAGGGCACCGGATTTCTCCATCAACTAGTTATTCGTTGGTCACTCCGAGGCAGGCCCTATTCATAATGTCTAATTGGGGATATGTATACCCTCATACCTAACTATTTGGAGTGTAACAACATTCCAAATTAGTAAACAACATTATTCCAGGTCTAGGAGAATGGTAGTCCATGTTCATGAAAACAATATTGTATTCATAAAGAAAAAAATACTCAACAGAACAATATTACGTTTTTAGGAAAATAATATTTCAGGTTCACGTGAATGATATATATTCTAGGTCAAGAGAATATTCTAGTCCATGAGTAGAAAGTAAAATAAATGAAAAAAATGAATAGATTAAAAATTTTGGTTCATGAAAATAATATTCCATGGTTAGGAGAAAAGTATTTGGTTCTAGGAGTGCAAGGAAACAGAAAGCAAAGAGAATAATATTTTAGTTCATGAGAAAAGTATAATCCAGTTCAGTAGAATAATATATCCCTATTTTAAGAGAATATATTCCAGTCCATGAGTAGAGAAAAAATAAAAGAAATAAAATCAAGTTGAAGGATGAAAATGTATTTGAATAAACAAAAGTAGAATAGAAATACAAAGGAAAGTAAAAATAAAATAAAATAAAAAAGAGATCACGTTACTATGGAAAAAACAAAAATAGAAGAAATGAAAAGAAAACGGTTGGATGTGCCAAAAATGCGTGCGTGCTATGGATGGCGAAAATACGGCCCAATAATCACCCTGTTCGCTTGATCGTATTAGTCATGCTTATCAGCCATGATATAATATTTTTCTCTCACAACAAAACAACATCAGCCGGCTTATAAGCCATAGAAACGATCAAGCGAACAGGGCAAATATTACGCTCTAGGCTCCATTGCGTCCGTCGTACGGCGGTAATAATAATGCAATTAAACTGGGCCGAGGTTTGAGAGTACTGGCTGTACCGCCATTCCGCCGAAAGAGTTTGTTAGGAGTAATGATGGGCCAGATGGCCCTAAGAAGATTCACAGAACCTAAAAGCATGTCCATTACACAAAACTAGAATTTCCAACGAAATCATAGGCTTATCTGTCAGCTTTAGCTCCGATGATCAACAAGCTGTAAAGTGTAAAGTGTGTATTGTATTATCGAGTATTCTAAAATAAAGAAAATGATCGACCAAGTACTCTTCGTCGAGCTAGGGATGACGACCAACTGTGACGTGCTTGAAGCTTGAGCCGCTGTCTTTTTTCGTCCCCTTGGTGACCTTGTGTCAGCATGTTTCCATTAAGAGAAGACAAGCTTGAGGCGTGAGAAACAGACCAATTTTGGATAGTAGTGGTACGACGACAATAAGCTTGAAAATTTAACTTGTTGGCTAATTATATGTTGGTGCCCACTGCCCAGCCGTGTGGAGTGTTAGATCAACGACCCGAGCACGGGATGAAGCTGACAGCCAGCACGTTATTAGTTAGTACTATGTCTGTGTAGGAGTATAAGTCTGAAGTAATCCTCTACTAGCTCGGTTCGGAGACATCATCATTGAGCCATTATACTGAAGCTTTCATGCATGCGGGTCTCTTTTCATGTCGCCCGTCAATTCTTTCTCGTGCATCGTTTTCGCTGGCAGTCCATACCCGTGAGTACAAACATTTTCTTTGTTCTCGAACCGCCTGGCTTCCAAGGCCCGTGTCCACGTGGAAAAAGAATCGCATGGAGACGGGAGGCAGCGTGCTGCCGTGCATACATGGCTCGGATCGTTGACACACGTCTTAGGAGAACGATCCAACCGTGCGTGTCCGGGAAAGCCTCTTGCATGTTCTCTGCTCGGCTCTGACGCTCCAGTTTGCGGACTATAACCTGCAAAGGAACCATCTCCAGGTGCGTTCGATCCGTTTCTGGGACGCGTGTCAAGAATCCGATCCATGTATGCACGGTAGCACGCTGCATCCATCCGGAGCCAGATCGGGTGACTTTACAGAGCCTCAATCTTAATCGTCCAGATAGCATCCAACGAGTGGAGCCAGGACTTTGCTTTTCAGCCCAAGCCAGAAGCACAGGCGCTACAGCTCACCTCCATTCCCCGCCAAAATTGCAGGCAGCCAGGCCAGCCGCCAGCCTCTCTCTGTTTCTGAAACCAATCCTGCAGGTCCCTGCTCCCCCCCTGGTTATAAGCAGCTCACAAGATCCAATGAACCTCAGCGTTTCTAGCAAAGGCTTCCAACACTTTGCAGATTCAAGCAAAATACACAGCAGCAGGCACTCTCAAGAGTGCAAAACAAATAAATACAAGGGACATCTATATTATAATCATCATCAGTAGAACTTAGCATTTTTCAGTTTGGGAGTTCCAGGTTGAAAGCACAAATACACATGCCACATTCATTTATATAGTAGGCCACAAAAGACTATAGTTGGGCCATTTCACTTCTACAATCCCGGGTATTGCTTTTTCCTACCTGGACCCGACGGCCAAGTTGGCATCGACTCATCGTCTCTATCTGCCCACCCTCGCTCAGCTCCCTGCTTATTGGGCAGTATAAGACCCGGCAGCAAGCACAGCGTCTGCTCATCATCCAATGCACCAATCCTTCCCCTCAAAAAAAAAATTCCAATTCACCATTCCAAGTGTCCTACTGAATCGATCCCTGCTCCCACGCACGGTGCCAACTGCCATCGCCCGTAGCATCAGCTCGATTGTAGTCGTAGCCAGCCGGAGCAGATCGACGTACACCATGTCTTCGTCTCGGCCCGCGTCGCCGTCGCCCAACCCGGTCGGCCTCTGGTTCTGCCAGATCTCCTCGGGCCTGCAGGCCAGGAGGCAGAGCGGCGGCGCCTCCGATCCGCAGGGTGCCAGGAACGGCGCCCGCGGCGCGGACACGAGGCAAGCCACTACAGCACCTGAA